TATTTTTGCTTTGCATTATTTCATAATGGTCTTTCCAGATTGTTTTGTATTTCTCATATTTGTTAGTCTTACTTACATTTAGCCTCCCATTATTTTAATGTACCACAATTTATTTAAGCATTTCTCTATCATTGGACATTAAGATTGCTTGCAGTTTCTTGCAATTGCATCTTTAAATTCTGCAGTGAAAATCTTTGGACAAGACCCAACCCCCCTCCTTTTTTTTTTTTTAACACTTCCAGGACGTACTCCCAACATCAGAATTATTTAGAATATTTTTAGAAAAACAATCTGACAGAATAGAGTAAAAGTGCAAAAATAGTCATCTCTTTTAATCAAGACAGCATAAATGTGATCTTGCCTAGGGAAAGAGAGATGATTTTTCCCTTGGGTCACTCATATGGGAAAAAACCTCTGCCAGCTTCAGAAATGCCATTATGTTTAGTATTTGGCTTAATTTTCTGAAGCCAAGTCCCATTTTTTCAGTACAAGAAACCACACTGCTTCTCCATCCTTTACCAGAGTGAATGGAAATATGTATGTTGAAGTGAAAAAGAGAAAGGAGAGGAAGATGGGACACCCTCCCCAAAGCAGGCTGAATTCATTCCCAGGGCAGAGGATCACTGAGCAGAACTAATCCAAGAAAAAAGGCCAACATGACAGATCCTCCCCACATCATCAGACCCAATTACCCTGAAGGACACTTTAGACTTGGTGGGCAGACAGGTAGAGACAGCTAGGGCTTCTCCCCTCAAAGTAATGTTTGCTCAATTGTATGGGAGTGGCTGTTCTCATGCCCCCTTGTGGCAGTCTTCAGTAACTGCTATATCCCTACACACCTGGTAACTAGGTGGCACAGTAGATAGAGCACTGGGTCTGAGGTCAGGAAGAGCAGAGTTCAAATCTGACCTCAGATACGTATTAGCTGTATAACCCTGGGCAAGTCACTTAATTCCTGCCTGCATAAAACTGGAAAAAGAAATGGCAAACCACTTTAGTATCTTTGCCAAGAAAAACCCCACAGACAGTTGGTCCACAAAGTCATGAAGAGTTATACACCACTGAACAACAATACCTCTGTCCAAACTCCTAAACTCTGACATCCAAATGAATTTGTGCCAGGGCCCATGGGCACAAACTGATTGCATACATTGAAATCAGACTGATTACCCAATACCTCGCCTTGCCAAAGACCAAGCAGTAGATGAGGGCCTTCCCTTTCTGAGGAGAGATCCTTCCCCCAAATACCTGTTGATTAATCAGGTTGTCATAGTATTGACTTTGAGGTGAGAATAGCTTTACCACATAACTACACTTCTTCATGGGGTTTAGAGATACACATCACTATGTAACAATAGACTAGTGCTTCGTTCTTAGTAATAATTATAATTCACCTCTAAAAAGAATGCTCTGCAGTTTGCAAAGTACTTTACATATATTATCTTACTTAATCTTCATGGCAACCTTGGGAATCAGTTATTATTGTTAGACCCAATATGAGGAAACTAAAGCTATGATCAATTCAATGATTTGCTCAAGGTAACACAGCTAATTAGTGTCTGAGATGGGATTGTCCCATACCCTGTTCCACTATTCCACCTAGCTTCCCTTTGGGGAGATGAAAGGAGCCGATTTTTATAAGCACTTTTTATGTGTACTATATACAGCCTTTACTAACAATGTTTGATCTTCACCACAGCTCTTCAAGTTAGGAAATGTGAAGATTATTACTCCTCTCCATTTGCAGATAAGGAAACTGAGGCACATTGGCTTGCCCAAGATCACATAGTAAGTGGCAGAGATGGTCCTGGCATCCAGGTCCTCAGACTAGAAACCTCACACTCCTTCCACTACACCACAGCTAGAAAGAGTTTATCTTTGTTTCTCCTGTCAAAATCTTCAGGAAGTATCAAGTTCCTCCCCAATGGAAGTCTTCAAACAAAGGCCATAAAACCACTTATCAATTCTAGAGTGGGGAGGAATTTTGCCAGCATGAATAAGTTGGACTGACAGCTGATGAGGATCCTTCCAGCACCGAGAGTTTGAGTTTCTGTGATCCTAGTCATTATTCAAAGACCAGGTCAAATGACACCTCTTCTAGAGAGATTTTCTATGCTCCTCTAACCAGAAGTAATGTCTCTTTCCTTTGAGCCTCCATAGCATTGGGACTGTACCTCCATTAAGAAACTTCCTGTATTCTACCTGGTACCACCATCTTCTCCATGCAAGTTTCATCCTGCTTACAGACACTGTGTCATATTCAACTTTATACTCTCCTGGTTTGTAACACAATACCTTTGTAGGTGCTCAATAGCCCTTTACTGAATTCGGTTGAATGATTCTCTATTTCACATATGTGAATTAGACCATGAGATCCTGAGGGTAGAAACTCTCTCTCCTCTCTTAAGCCCTTTAATGCCAAAGACAGGGGCTGGGAACTCAGTGAGTGCTCAACTTGTTGAATTGAAAAATTGCAAAGATTTTTCAAATCCAAATCAGGCAAACAAAACAAACAAACAAAAATATATTCTTTGAAACACTGAACCAGCTCAACTGTGTGAGAGGAAATACGGTTCCAGGGTGAGATAGCCTGGAGCCAGAGTTCCCCAGTTAGTCTCCCACTGCAGAGCTCAGCAGTTGCCACCCATACATCCCATTCAGAACACAAGCTTGTGTGGCACGTGGCCAGCCCCCAGAGTTCGGGCCTCCACAGGCCTCCAACGTGGTTTGTCACCCCAAGAAACCCACAATGCTCTGCTTAAACCTGCTCCCCTGCTCCTTTTCTCCCAGATGAAGCTAAGTCCAGTTTCACTAGGGAACTGTCCAGCAAAAAGAAAAAGAAAGAAAAAACAGCCATCTGCTTTTATCAGCAGAAACAATGAGTTTAAGATAAGTCATTTGTTACCTGACTTTATTCCTACCCATCCTTCTCTATAGAACTATATTCGTGGGGCAATCTCCAGGTGCTTCCCAATTGTTTAAAGTTACTCCACCCCTTGCTAACTCCCCATCTCTAACCCAGGACAGAAAGAATACTCCACTAGACAGAATCCTGGGTCTGTAGGTTCCACCACCTATGATATCGAGAGATCATTGGGTCATTTTTCACCACAATCAGTTGGAAATGTGCATGATCAAACTCCAGGTAGGAACTAAGGCAGAAAAATGGGAAAAGGGAACAATAACTGCAAAGCTGTAAAATCTCTACCGCTAAATGTATGGATATAGCCACACCTCCTTGCCTGTGGATGGTTTGAGAAGAATGGAAATTACACTAGCCAGGGGAAATTTCCTGTTGCATTTCCTACCTTTCTTCAGGCTGTGTGGTTTCCAGATCAAAAGAGATACCCAGTCTAAACAGAAGATGAGTCCTTGAATCAAGTAGCACAATCTATTTTAACTGGAGCCCAATCTGTCTTTCATTTTTTACCAGCCCCTAACTGCCAACGGGGGATCAGGGAGGAAGGCAGAGAGAAAGGTCAGAGGCTAGAGAGAGCAAGAGGGTGGAGAGAGACTGGATATGGATAGGGAGGAGAACAAAAAGGGGGAAGAGGAAAAGAAGAGAGTTGAGGAAGAGAAAAAGGAAAGTGAAGGTTAAAAATGGAAGGAAAAGGGAAGAGAAGGAAGAATGGAAAGTGGGATGGGGAAGAGAAGTAAGCAAAGAAATCAGAGTTCAGATTGAGTTAATCTATGAGAAAAGGCACTAGAACTGGGTACCCTCAGTACAATAGGTTTCGCTCTCAGGCAATTATCTCCTTCCCCCCTCCAGCTCTGCACCCCTCCCTATTACTCCACCCCCACCCTCTAATTCTTTTTCTTAACTAGAATAAAGCTCACACCCCAGGCAAAGAAGCCAGGACAGCTTGGAGAGCGGTTGTAATAAAACCGAGCCCCTCTGCCAAGAGAAATTCCCAACCACATCCAGCTCTCAGTGGGCCCTGAGCCACAAACACCCACGAACCCACAAGCGGTTGGCTCTGGGGGCCGTCCCCACCCAGAACATTGCTTTCCATAAAAGCAACATTTGGGAGCAGCATCTAGAGAGAAAAGGGGGTGTGCGTCTGTCCGTGTCTGTCTGTCTGTGCGTCTATGTGAGTGATGGACATCCTGCCACTCTCTTGTGAAAAACAAATGAGTAGATTTAAAATAAATAAACTCTCTTCGCTGGTGGCCAGAACTCACGAACTTTGGCGTAGCGAAGCAGCGCCCGGGGTCCCCCTGCCAGGCAGGCGTCCGGGCTCAGAGTCGACGGCCCAGGAAGGAGGCAGAGGAACAGGACGAAGGGCTGGCACCTGGGGCTGGTGCAGCGGGACGAGCTGGGCGCAATGGAGAGGAGAAGCCCGAATCTAGAACGGTCGAAGCAGGGAAAGCTAGAGTGGGGGTGTCCCGGAGTCCCTTTCCCAAACCGTCGGGAGGGAGTGCTTGCCTCAGCCTTCCACGACTCGGGAGAGAGCCGGCATGGAGGTGGCAGGGCGAACTTCGGGAGGAGAGGGCGCCTCCAGAGGGTCTCCAGCTGCAGAGCGCAAGGCGCTTCGTACTCACCACGCACCCTAATTTCACTCCGGTCCGCGGGTCAGTGCATCCAGCCGGGCCGGCTGGCCGGTGGGGCCGGGGGCTGGGAGCCGGGCTCAGCTTGGCTGGACTGTGATGGACTGCTCGCTGCTAGCGCGGTCCCGGCCCGGCGTGTGAGGCTGAGCAGAGGAGAAGGGAGGGGAAGAGAAGGAAAGGGAAGGGAGGGGAGGGGGCGCTCAGGGAACCGGGCAGAGGGGGAGGGACCAAGAGCAAAAAAGTTTTTCACACTGCCGCCGACTGGCTGGCCTACCCTGCTCCCCCACCCCCAGCGCTCCTTACGCCGCCCCCTCCCCCTGCTCTGGGGCCAGGCAGTCACCTCGCCCCTTGGGGCGTCCCCTCCCCCATCCGGCTAACCCGCCGGCTTGGCGGGGAGGTCTGGGGGCCCCCCTCCGAGACCTTTCGGTGCCAAGTCGTCCCCCACCCCTTACCTCCGCCCCGACCGGGGCAGCTGCACTGGCGCGCCCTCCCTATCGGCGGGACTTAGGTTCTGAGTTTGAAGAAGTGAGAGACAAGAAGTATCGCACAGGACAGAGTCAGGGTCCGAGACTGCATTCACCTTCCTTGCCTTCACCTCAGGCTTGATCATCCCCCTTACCCCTCAAATGGATGTCTCTCAAGGCGTAGAAATCTTTCGTTTGCCTTCCACCGCTTTCTCCCCAAGATAGGAGGGAATCCACTGGAAGACCCTTCTCTTGACCCAGTCACCCTGATGCCCCCCCCTCACTTCAGCAGGAAAAGAAAAAGAGATGGCACAAAGGGAGACATCTCCCAGCAGACTGGACAATCATTTCTGTCTGAGAGCCCTTCACTTAAAGAGCTAGGCTCCTTCCAGGGCACTGTCTGTCCTTCCCCGGAGTTGTTCAATTTGTGTAAAAATACTGCGCTCCATCCTGGTCTGAATTAAGCAGGAACGTCAAGCCAAGAAGAACAAAAGTCTGACCGTGAACCACGAAGAGAAAATCACTTAGAGGCCAAAGAGGATGAGGCCATGGGCACCCGTGACTCGCCTCCTTCCAAATCTCTGTGAACTGGGCTGGAGTAGGCCAACTCACCCCCTGCTAGCCCACCAGTGACACTCCCCTACCTGTTTAACCCGGGTCTGGGAAGAGGTCAGGTGCCTGGTCACCCAGGCACAAGTCCTTTGTGGTGCCAGCAGGCTCCTGGCTCGAAGCTCTAGTTTCTCTGGTGATGAAAAATGAGCTGGTGTGAAGAGGCTGGTGACTGCGGCGGGGGGGGGGGGGGGGGGGGGGGGGACTGAGCAAGCAGGGTCCTGTGTCTTCAGGAGGGATGAGGAATGTATAAAACTCCCACCTCCCACCTTGTGAAACAATGTGCTCCCTGCGACGGGAGACGTGTCAAGCCTGGGCCATATGGATGAGCTATAAGAAAATTTACCTTAGCTAGGAGACCCTAGGTGGCACAGTGGATAGAGTCAGGAAAACCTCAGTTCAAATCTGGCCTCAGAAACTTACTAGCTTTGGGACCCTGGGCAAGTCACAAAACTCTGTTTGCCTCAGTTTCCTCATCTGTAAAATGAGCTGGAGAAGGAAATGGCAAACCACTCTAGTATCTCTGCCCAGAAAACCCCAAAATGGGGTCACAGAGAATGAGACACAGCTGAAAAAACGATTCAACAACAACAAAAGGAGTCCCTTAAATGTCAGAACACGGCTTCCCTTTCCCTCCCCGGATCCCTTGTCAGCTGTTTTCCCTTCCTCTCTTTCCTATCTCTTGAGGCCCACCTTGTCCTTCAAAACAAACAGCACAGAAAATAGAGAGTCCAATTACCTTCCAGCTAAGGTAAACATTCCTTAAAGGAAAGCTGACTCTAGGGTAGTATGATATGGGAAAGAGAAAAGTTGTGTCCTGTGAATGATCACACCCCACAGAGGCCTGGAATTTCATTCAGAGAACCTCAACTCTAGAGCCCTTTCCATGCCAGGATTTCCTTTCTACAACTCCTTTCCTAGTCTGTGGTTGGGGGGAGAAGGTGGTGATGAGGAGGAAGGCACCATTCACAAGAACTTTTTTTTTAAGGGACCAAAGAAAGGGAGAGGTGGAAGAGCATGAGCTTTAGGAATCTGATTTCTTGGCATACAAAGCCTTCTAGTTTGCTGGAGATTTAAACCTTTAGGAAATAGGAGGACTTCAAAATAAGCCTCACTTTGCACAATATGATGCCTCATCACTAACCGAGTGTGATGGAGGGGAGAATGGTGGAGAGCACTCTGAGCTCGGAGGCTGGAAAATGTGGGTTTGAGTACTGCCCCTGATATTTAGGAGCATAGACTGAGAAATAGGTGACTTTAGACATCATTTAGTCATTTTACAGATGAGGACACTGTAATCCAGGGAAGTTGTGACTTGCACAAAATCAAATAGGTAGTAAGTGTAACTAACAGGCGTCTGACTTTAAATCAGAGAACAAGCAGCTGGCCAGGAGGATCTGAGTTCAAGTCCTGCCTCCTCCATATATCCTCCATGTATCACAAGTATGATCCTAGGCAAGTCATTTAACCTTTAGTACTCTAGGCAATTTTCTAAGTCTATAAACTGCAGAGAAGGTGCCAGCCTACGTGGGTAGGAGTGGTTCTCTTGACCAGTAAAATCATAGATCTAGCTCCTCTTTTTTTCCTGCCTTATTGTATAACCAGGAATAAGTCCCTTTCTGCCTTCTGAAGCCTCAGTTTCCTTATTCTGTAAAATAGGGGGAGAGAGGCAACAACACCTTCATTGTGTTAGCTGCAAGTACTGAAGTATTACGCTACCTCGGGGTCTACCTACAGTGTGGGGCAGTGAAAAAGATGCCCAAATTGAAGTTACAGGCCCTTGTTTCAGATTTCAACCCTAGTTCAAATTCCAGTTCTGGCACTTGTTACCTGTGCGACCTAGATTCATTAATTTAATCTCTCTGAGACTCAGCATCCCCATTTGTAAAGTGATGGGTTAGACCAGATGACCTCTGAGGTCCCTTCAGGCTCTAAACCTATGACCCTATGACCTCACAGTGTTCTCAGAAGACTCAGCTTAGATCACGTGTGCAAAGCTCTTTGCAAACCTTGCAAGCCCTTCAAAGTTACTGATTGTTATCATCATTGTTAGAGCATTTTAGTACTGAAAGGGAACTCAGAGACTGTAGACTCAGTTTTCTCTTCTCCCCAGGAAGACATGGTCACATGAGTCAAGTCATTCATCTCTCCGGGCCTCAGTTATACCATTTGTAAAATGTTCCGTCTCCCACCTCTATGCCTGGGCTCGAGCAATGACCCACACCTGGCGCACTCTCCTCCCTCTACCCTACCTCTTGGAATCCTTGGTTTCCTTCAAGATTCAGTTCGAGTACCACCTCCTACAACAGGCTTCCCTGGAACCATGTCTTCTCAGAGGTTGCCATGCAGCTTTGTAAGTAACTACATGTAGTTTCCTCCTCCATTTGTAAGTAAGTACATGCAGTATCCTCCTACATGTAAGCTTACTAAGGACTGAAAAGTTTCATTTCTGTCTTTGTGTCCCCAGCACTTAGCACAATATTTAGTGGATGCTGTTGTTCAGTCATGTTTGCCACCCCATTTGGGGTTTTTCTGACAAAGATGCTGGAGTGGTTTGCCATTTCCTTCTCCAGCTCATTTTACAGATGAGGAAACTGAGGCAAACTGGGTTAAATGACTGGCCCAGGGTCACACAGCTAGTAAATGTCTGAGGCTGGATTTGAACTCAGAAAGATGAGTCTTCTTGACTCCAGGCTGACACTCTATCCACCTAGCTGCCCACTCGGTGCCTAGTAGGTACTTACTAAATGCTTGTTGATTGAGTTCTATTAAATGAATGAATGAACGGATTGAAGACCTCCTTTCCAGCTCTAAAGCACCTGTTTCCTAGTCCCTTTTGCTCAGAAGTGCCTGTGCTAAGCCAGAACTAAGTGAAGGCCACATCCAGGAAGTGATAGGCTTTGGCATATATAGACCGGGCCAAGGTCCAGTTAGTAGAGAATAAAAGCAATGGTTCCCATGGTCCACTTGTAGAAATATTCCTGCCCTGCAGCTCCTACCTGGATCAGAAAGGAGGAAGTAGCCCCTCTGGGCCTTAGCACTGAGAGTCCCAGGCAGTTTTCATCTGTGCCCTTGTGGCTGATAGCACAAAATTAGGAAGCAAGGATGCTTTAGAATCACTGAATTTCCAACAGAAAGAAAACTTAGAGTCTGTCTAATCCAACACTTTCCACTTTCATTTTATAGATAAGAAAAATGGCTCGGAAACATGAGATGACTTGCCTACAGCCACATAGCTACTCATCACAGAGACAAGAGTAAAATCCAGGTTTCTCCTGATTCCTGGTCCATGATATTTCACTATCTCTAGTCTTCAGGTCTAGTGGTTCTGCTTTTTAAAATTAAAAAAAAAAAGGGTGCTCAGGTCTCCTCTTGAGAACTCGGCACTCTTGAAAGAAGAATCTTTACAAAATATAGCACCTAGACCTCGAAGGAAACTTAGGGGAGAAAAAGCTGGTTCCTACCCCCTCATTTTACAAATGAGGAAACTACGAAACAAAGGTAAATGACTTGCTGAACGTTACCCAACTCCTAAGTGTCAGAGATGAAAATCTAAGGGCACACTAGACTTAGAGCCTGAGAACTAGATTCAGATCCCAGCTCCATTACTTACTACCTTTATGACCTCAGACATGTCACATCCTCTCCTGGCCTCTGTTTCCTCATGAGTAAAATGAAAGAGTTGGACCAGCACTGTTCCAGTTCTGTTTCTAAGGTCCTGTGATTGTCTGACTCCTATATCAGTGTTATTTCTATTATACCATAATGATTCCCCCTGCCAGAGCTTGGACCTTGGAGGAAGGAATGTCTAACTCCATTCAAAGGCCATTGGAAAGACGTGGAGTAGGGGGAGGCATTTATTTCCTAAGGATGGAATCAGTAACTAGGTTCCTCCCATAGTTCAGGTATCAAGTCATGTTTCAAAAGCAAAGGCCAAGTCTGTGTCACTTTGTGGGAAGAGCTTATATATACCTAGGTGATTGTCCGTCCAATGGGCTTTATGTGCTGGAGGTAGCCCTGATGGATGGGAAAGAGGACTATTTTGAGAAGCAGGAGACTTGATGTCTTAGCCTGGCTCTATTTCTTAGTCTTTGGATAACTTTGGGCAAGTCAGTTAATCTATTTGGGTCCAGTCTCCTCATCTTTGAAATCTTGGGGTGGATAAGAGAATCTCGAAGTCTTCTTATGTACACCTCTACTAACCCATGATTCTCTTCTATCCAGAAATGTGGGGTACAGCCCAGAATGACAGATTGTAAATACCTTAAGGGGCCATCTACTCCAACCCACATCATCTATAACAAGGGGTTAGCCTCTGCTTGAAGCCCTCCAATCAGGGAGAAGCTGCTATTTCTGGAGAGAGTGCATTCCACTTTTGGAGAGGTCTAATGCTTAGGGAGTTATTTTTTCTCCTGAAGTTTGCTTTTCTGCAGCTTCTACCTCTCCTTTCTGGATTTTCCCAATGATTCCTGCCCCCATCATTACATAGCTAATAAGTATCAGAGGCAGCATTTAAATCCAGGTGTTAGTGCCACAAAGTCCCACATTCTTACAAGGATGACTTTTTGTAGAGAATGCTAAGGGATCAGAGTATAGATTGAACTAAATGACATCCAAGGTCGTTTCCAACCCTAAGACTGTGAATCCATTGGGAGAAAATAATCATTTGGCAAGGATTAAGCTGTGCTTTGTGGACTCCTGGGCTATACCTGCGAGAGGATATCTTGATCTCCCCAGCCTCAAGATGAAACATAGCAATGAATGGTGTCCCCTCCTCCCTTCTAGGCTGTAAAGATTCCCCTTCCTAAGCCTTTGGATTTATCAGAAATGAGACGGCAGGGAGAACTCTCCCCACTGTATATTGATAACACTGAAAGTAAAACTGTAAGAGATGGAAACCAGTCAGATGATAATCTTCTACTTTAGAACAGACCAAAATGAAGGAAAATAGCAAAGTGAGCCAAGAAGCATATTTAGTCCAAAGCAAACAGCTTCCCAGGCCCCTAAAGCAGAGATGGGGAAGATGGATGACTCAGGTAAATTCCTGAATGGTGCTGATTTTTCCATTCTTAACTGAACCTGCATTTCTCAGTGCTTAAAAAAAAATCCATCAGCCTCCCCCCACAGCCATCGTCCCCCTAGCAGTTGTTTGCCCATTTT